GGCCATGATGGAACGGATGGCGGATTGGGCGAGGGTGCGGGATACGCCGGCGGGGAGGGCGGACTCGGCGAAGTCGGCGGACTCGGGGGCACCGGGGAGGGAGTTGTAGCGGGATGTGATGACGGGGAGGAAGGCGGGGAGGTCGAGGAGGACGGTGGGGCTGCGCTGGAGGATGGAGACGGAGGGGACGATGGGGGAGAGGGAGAGGTCGGCGGCGATGTCGTGCGCGGAGTTGCCGGAGCCGATTACCAGGACGCGTTTGGAGGCGAAGGGGGCGGGTGTGTGGTAGGATGTGGAGTGCAGGACGGGGCCGGGGAAGGAGGGTGGTGGAGGGGGCGACATGGGGGGAAGATTGATGTTGGACGGGGAGACGAGCCAGCCTGTTGAGAGGATGAGGTTGCGCGCGAGGAGGGTGGTGGAGGAGGAGGTGAGGGTGTCGGTGAGGTGGACGGTCCAGAGGTTGGTGGCGGGGGACCAGGTGTTGCGGGTGACGGTTATGCCGCCGAAGAAGGGGAGGCGGAGGTCCTCGACGGCGGCGCGGTAGTAGGATGTTAGTTGTGGTCCGGAGAGGAACTCGGGGAGGGAGGACGGGACGGGGTAGTCGGGGAGCTGGATCATGGACTTGGGGTGGTGCAGGCGGATGGAGGCGTAGCGGGAGGAGGACCAGTTGCCGCCGGCGAGGGGGTCGGAGTCGAGGACGATGGACTCTGCGCCGGCGCTCTCGAGGCGGATTGCGTTGGCGATGCCGTTGCAGCTGCCGCCGACGATGACGGCGTCGAGGATGGTGGACGCGGGGAGGGAGGGCAGGCCCTGGGCGGAGGAACGGCCGCGCTGGGAGGATGGGAGGAGGGCGGAGGAGGGGCGTGGGAGGGGGGTGAAGGGGCGGGAGAGAAGGGCGTGGACTTGGGTTGTTAGGCCCCAGATCTTGAACTTGGGGGAGGTGGTGGTGGTAGTGGTGATGGGGATGAGCTTGGCGAGGCCGGTGCAGGAGGTTGCGGGGTGGGCGCAGTGGAAGGAGAAGGGGACCTCGAGGGTGGCGAGGGTTGGGGAGAGTCTGACGAAGGCGGGTTTGAGGCCTTTGAGCTCGGTTTCGGGGGAGAAGGTGGACGGGGCTCGGGTCGAGGAGAGGGATTCCCAGGCGTGGAGGATGGCGGCGCGGCCGATGATGGTGCGCTTGTCGAAGGTGAGGGTGAGGCTGTCCCTCCACCAGGAGTCTTCGACGAAGAGGTCTGCGAAGGAGGGCCAGTCGGCGTTGGCCACGGCATCGGAGAGGGCTTTGAGGAAGTGAGATGCTTCGGCGGCGACGTCGAGGTTGGCTTCGGAGGGAAAGGGGGGCACGGAGGGGATGGGGGAGGGGAGGTCTGCGACCCTGGTGCGGGTGCGGTGGTTCGTGAGGGTTGTCATTGCGGGTGATTGTTGATGAAGGAGATGCAGGTGATGTTTGAAGAGCAGTGCGGTGAGGTTTTGAGGCTATAAGTCAGGAACTCAAGGGCTTTGGCTTCATGAGACTTTCCAAGAAAAGCCTGGAAATGTAGGCTTTTATATTGGATGTAAACACTCCCGCCAGGAAGCCTGTACGTATGATCTCGTTGCTGCCAGTCATCTTCAAGTATCATACATCTGTAACAATGTGTTATAGGAACTTTGAACCATCAGCAGCCAAGTGATCCTTCCAAACAGACAACCCAGATGCAGGTAAGATCTAGAGCGGGAATTTCGTAACAACGTCCAATCATACTGAATCTGTCTTACCGCTCGCGGTAATCTTGAGACTCCAATAATGCGGATCTACACATGCTGCATCAACTTGATCCCATCGTCACAGATACTTTGGGGCTCGAAAGATGTGTAGTCTGGGATGCAACGCCCACCCGGATTTCTCGGAGTTTAGTATGGGTCCGGGGATTTCGGGCGGGAGCTATCAGTTCGCGCTAATCCTCAGTTCGTATTATATTCGTCTCTGATTCGCGGAGAGGCCATTGTAAGCTGACCGGGGAGCGTGTCTGGACATGGGAAGGGGAGGTCTTCTCAAAGTAGCAATCTTTTATGGCATCCAGACACATTGATTAGCCCCAGCGGATTGCTTTGGGAAGATTGCTTCAACTAATCAATTTGGTACGCGGGCTCAGTGGGAAGAGCGTGCGATGTTCTGATAAATACGATTAGCATAGAAGTGTTTCAACATCATGGGAGAAGACGTAGATGAGCAGCAAGATGGTGATGCAGATGAAAGTCTTGGGCATGGGGGCCAAATCGTGGTCTTGGTTTGGAGATGCATGAAACTTGTTAAGCGACATCCTGTGGGCGGGATAAAGGACGTGACAATGTCTTTTCCTCATCCCAGGCCCCGAAGAAGCATCATCATTGGCATCGACACTCAAATCATCTCAATACTCAATATACATCAATCGCCATGGCCGCAAAGACGTCAAAGGTGGAGCGAACAACCATCGCGGGGTCAATCGAGATACCCCGCATCCTCAACGGCCTCTGGCAGCTCGCCGGCGGCCACGACCAGGACGTCGACGTCGCGGCCGCCGCAAAGGCGATGAAGCCGCTGTGAATCTCCTTTATCTCACCTTACCTACGTATCAAAATATGGACTGACGTCGTTTAGCATCGACGCCGGGCTGGACGCCTTCGACATGGCAGACCACTACGGCCCCGCCGAGCTCGTCCTCGGCGAGCACACCCGTACCACCACCGACCGCCCCGTCACGGCGTTTACAAAGTGGTGTCCGCCCGAAACCGGAGATAAGTCCTTCGCAACCGCCGAGACGGCCGTCGGCCGCGCGCTGGAGCGCATGGGCGCGGCGCAGATCGCGCTGATGCAGTACCACGTGTGGGACTACACTGACGACACGTACCTGGTCAACCTGGCGCACCTGCGGACGCTGCGGGCGCGGGGGAAGATTGCGCATGTCGGGCTGACGAACGTGGATACCGCGCATCTGGAGATGTTGCTGGATTCGGGGCACGAGGTTGTCTCGAACCAGGTGTCGGTGTCGGTGGTTGATTTGAGGGTTGTGAAGGGGAGGATGGCGCGGGTGTGTGAGGAGCGAGGGGTGGGATTGCTTGCGTATGGGACGCTGCTGGGCGGGTTCTTGGGGGAGAGGTGGGTTGGCGTGGAGGAGCCGAAGGAGGAGGGGTTGAATTGGAGTTTGAGGAAGTATTTGCGGTTTATTCAGGTTGCTGGGGGATGGGAGGCTTTTCAAGGTGTTCTTGCGGCGGTTGCTGGTGTCGCGAAGAAGCATGGTGTTTCGGTTGCTGCTGTTGCGATGAGGTGGGTGTTGGATGTCCCGGCTGTGAAGGCTGTCATCATCGGGGCGAGGTTGTCTGAGCAGAGCTTGGAGTATGCTCAGAAGAACGTCGAGGCGTTCGGGTTCGAGCTCGACGAAGAAGATCGGGCTGCGATTGCAAAGGCGCAGGAGGGTTTGAAGGATATACCGGGCGACTGCGGGGACGAATACCGACGGCCGCCATTGATGACGGCTTCCGGAGACCTGAGTGACCACATCAAGGAGAGCAATGAGATGCAAAAGGTGGAGGAGGCCATCGCCATGGGGAAGAGGGTGGAGTTTCACTCGGGGAGCAAGTGGGAGCCGATCTGCGGCTACTCTCGCGCGGTGAGGTTTGGAAATGTCATCAGGGTGTCGGGCACGACGGCGAATCCACCACAAGAGCTGCAAGGCCAGCTTGGGGTAGTCGGGGGGAAGTCTGCAAAGTCGCAGGCTGTTGCGGCGCTTGATATCATTGAGAGGGCCGTGAGGCGACTTGGGGGGAGCATGACGGATGTGGTGCGGACGAGGGTGATGCTTCAGCGGGAGGAAGACGTCGAGGGCGTTTCGGCGGCACATGGATGGGTTTTCAACTGTCGAGGAGTCTGGCCTGCGAATACAACAACGATGGCCGGGTTGATTGGAGACGAGGTTCTCGTCGAGATCGAGGCTGAGGCGGTCGTTGGGAGCGGGAAGTCTGTCGTGGCCATTTCATGAGTAGATCTTACAGTTTGTACAGGAAAAATCATCGAGCCCAAAGGGGCCCAATCAGAGCATATGATGTCAGCACGACTCGAAGAGAATATCAATTACCTTGTCATTATTGTTGTTCTGGGTTCTTGACAGAGCTGGCTCAGATCGCTTCCTGGTGTACAAATGGCAACGTTTGGATGTAGACTGTGTCCGCCGCTCAGATTAGGCGTTCTCAATATAATCGGGTCACGCCCAGGAGATGTGACTCAAAATGAGAAACACAAGTAGTCAAGACAAATATGAGGGGAGATTCAGTCACAAGAAAGATCGAGACCAAATTCGCTTCTCGCAAATGTCAAAAAAGTCGAAAAATGAAAGGGACGAGACTCGAACTCGCGCGGGTTGCCCCACCAGGAAACAGATGTTAAGCTGACCTTAACCTGGCGCCATAACCAACTCGGCCACCCTTCCGATGCTGCAATTGCGACAAATTTGGAGTCATAGAGCCCACAGCTGATACCAGCTTCGTCTGTGAGATGATCGACTGCTCATGGAGAAGATCCCTCAAACCTGAGAGCCTTCGGACTTTGAATTGAAATAGACAAACAACGAGTCGGAATCATCTTCAGAAATGATCACACGCGGGAGTGTCGTACTGTCTTCAGCGCGCCTAGCCTGCAGCAGTTGCAGGGGTTTCAGTGGCTGGAGAGCATGCCGAGACGAAACTGGAAAATCCACTCCGCAACAACGCCTCCATTGTTGGTTCTGGTTTCCATGCTTCGGCGAACCAACTGCCTTGCATTGAGGGACCTATCATTTAATTATGTTGCATTGGTCATGTCTGGTGGAGCATTTGGTCAATCGTGACTTTAACAAGCAGCCTGCTGCACCAAACCTGACCACTTAATCGTTTCCCCTCTCAGCCCTCGCTCGAAAGGCACACCCGACACCCAACTCTTATGACTTTGCTTCCAACGCCTGATATGACGAAACCTTCTTTCTTCCCTTGTAACTTTTCTTCTTCTTGATATGACGTCATTCAAGTTTCGTCCTCTAGATGAGGCAGACGCGATCAGGCTTTTGATTCTCTATCCTTCCCACGAGACAACAGCGCCCCTATCTGGCTCCCTGATCAACACCACTCTGTCTGCATGCGACTCAGACTTCGCCAAAGGCTATCTGGCTCTCTCGTATGTATGGGGAAAACCAGCCAGCACATCGTCTATCCAGATTGACGGGATCGACGTGAGAATCACGGACAATTTGGCGGAAGCTTTGACTCAAGTCCGCAATGCCTACCCCGGAGCCCCCCAGCGAATCTGGGCCGATGCTCTCTGTATCAACCAGTCGAACACTGCAGAAAAGAATAGACAAGTGCCGCTCATGGGCAACATCTACTCTCTTGCCAAGACCACAACCATCTATCTTGGCCCCTTATCACCCGGGATCGAGACGATCTTCAAGGCCGTTCACGACAGTAAGCCAGGATTCGTCACCGTCGACGCCGCGGGAGACTCCCGGATCGCGCTGGCAAAAGATCTGCAGCAGCTGAAGAAGTTTGACGTGAAAGGCGGCTCAGAACCCCCGGCCGCCGCCATCGACGAGCTGCTTCAACGGCCATGGTTTACCCGCGTATGGGTCACCCAGGAGCTTCTTCTATCCCGCGACGCATGGGTCCAGTGCGGTGCTCTTCGCGTGAGATGGAGAGAAATCGGTGCGCTTCTGGTTCCCATTCTGGACCGAACAAAAGGAAAAGGCAGCACCGCTTTGCAACAGATGCAATCACTGAACTTGGAGGAGAAGAAGGACCCCAAGGACCGCGAAAGGGCGAGGTATCTCAGGAAAGTTGGCAAGGCATCAGAAGAACTTGTCCCCTCACTCTCACACATCCTGCGGATGAGACAGGGATGCCGCGCCTCCGATCCTAGAGACATGATCTTCGCATATATGGGTATGCATGCCGACCGGGAGGAAGTCGCCGAGTTCTTCACCGTGGACTACGAAATGCCGCTGAGGCAGCTTCTCATTTCGACCGCCAGGTATATCCTCCAACGCGACGGACCGGAAGTGCTACTCCGCTGTGCCAAGCACTCACCTACCAACAACTGGTTGAACCTGCCTTCGTGGGTGCCTCATTGGGGGATCCATGAATGGTCGCAAGCGACGAGCAATACAAATGCCACGATATCGGAGGATGAGAGTTTATTCTGCCCCGTGGAGAAAGGTGAATGTACCCCATATTCGCCTCTTCGGGATCCCAAGTTTATTCGATACGTCAACCCTATCCTTCCTCGCCCACAAGACGTCCCTCAGTGCGTAGTGGATTTTGTCAAAAGAGCCGCCTACGCTTTGAATGAATACAAGGAAACGCCTTGGAAAGAGCTCCTAGAAGCGGAGAATCTTTCTTTCTGGAGAGACCTGGACATTAGGTCGTCCGAAACGCAGGACCCCAGCCCGATCAGGCTCTTCCCAGACAGCTTATGGGACTTGGCTGCGGAAGATGAGAGAGAATACCCACGATTAGAGTACGCTCAAAAAGCGAAAGTCTTTACCAGGGCATTGCAGACTCTCTCTTTCTTCATGGCTTACGTGGGAAGAGAGGTTATGTCTGCGACAGCCTATCGTGATGAATTTGACAATCCCCTCCAGTGGGACCTTTACGAAGGACAGAGGATTCGACTAGCGCTGTCCACTGCCGGTTTTATACTTGCTGTGCCAGCCTATGTGGAGGTGGGAGACGTATTTATGAGGTTGGACAGTCTCACAGCTAGCTATGGGTCCCCTACTAAGAACCACTGCTTTGGCGGTTTGTTTAGGCCGATTGCAAAAGATACGGGCGACCCTCTTATAAGGGCCTTCAAGTGGCTTTCCTTCGGCGGTGTTCCTGTTTGGAAAAAGATTTCGTTCTCGCGATGGAAATTTAGTATGCTTCCAACGGAAGTCGACAACATCGGCTTGAAATGGTATAAGGACTTCCACCCCAATGAACCTGGAAAACTTAAGTATATAGAGCTCTGTTAAGGCTAGCTGAATTTGAATTGGTACAGGTTTGTGCTAGGCTGATCATGACTATGTAGAAATTTCCTTGCACGGGGGTCCTCATCTGGATATTTGAGCTGCTCTATTCATTGCGTTCTAGGGTTCAGCAAATACTAATTGGTCTTGCTTGTATTTGCCATATCTAGACGAAATGGCTCTGCCTACGCGCCACCCGTTTCCCTGTTGCACCGCTGTCCCAATGTATGCGGTCCCCAAAGCCTCGGTCCGCTCACTTCAAATCCATAGTATCCACAGACTTGAGGATCGTAAACGTCCTGTGATTGCAGTCCTTGTGCACCTGGGAATGGTCATGGGGAGGATCGCACTCTGCGATGGTGCCCGTCGGATGGTGCTTCAAGCAAGCCGGCAGCACACCGCCGTGATTATTCGGAGGGCAGTAATTCTCGACCTTTTTCAGGCGGTAGAGTAGTGACTCATGAAGCACGGCATCCTTGGGTATATCGCGTGTTTCTCCCTTATTGAGCGGAAAGCGCACGTTCTCCCATTGGCCGTCTTCAAGCTCCCAGCGCTTGATGAAGGGGAGCCATTCTGTTTAAGCTGCGTTAGCGAGCGTCCTCAAGAAGAGTGAAGAGAACTTACCCATGAGCTTCCACAACAACACCGTAAAGAATCCCGTTCCGGTGTTGAACGCGAGCGAATCGTGAATGGGAGCCTTCATCGCCTTATGCTTCTTGTCTGCATACTTGTCCTTGAAGTGCTTCAACTGATCCTCCCGCCATTTGAGCGCAGCCTCAGGGTGCTTCTTGCCCACCTCCTCGACTTCGCCAATCATCCACGCCAGCGCAACATCACTGAGCTGCAACCTGTCGCACCCGATCGCCTTCCCCTTGGGCGGCTTGCGCGTGGAGAGGAAGTTCTTGATCGTCTCCCACCACGTCATCTCAGCCTGGCCGCCTTCGAGGGGGTTCTTGTCCGAAGCGGGCCACCCGCCGCCGACATCGCCGTGGCACCCGGGAAACCAGACCTCCAAGATGTCCTCGTGGATCTCCTCGCCCTTCTTCATGTCCTGCGCCATCAGCGCGGCCTTGAACTTGACGCGGCGCTCGTCGACGGCGACCGCGTGGCGGACGTGGTGCGCCGTGCCGACGACGGGCACCGGAATCGGCGCCTTGCGCTCGAGGATGGCGACGGAGTTGACGCAGTCCCAGATGCCGAGGAAGTGCACCTTGATGTTGGACTCCTTGCCCTCCTGCTTGTCCGTGTCGCAGTGCGACGAGACCTCTTTGCGGCAGAAGGTGTCCGAGAACGCGGCGATCTCGTCGGCTGCGACTTCGAAATTGTGGCCGTGGACGGCGGGGTCTTCGCCATCCTGGTGATCGTGGGTCTCCACGTCGGCTTCTGTGTCGTCCAAGAGTGGCTGCGTCTCGCTGTGGCCGTTGCCGTTGCCGTTACTGTGACCGTTTCCGTTGCCATTACCGTTGGCAGCGGCGAGGGCGGCGGCTTTTTTGGCTGCCTTCTTCTCGGCCTTCTTGGCGGCCTTCTCCCTGTTCTTCTTCTTGGGGTGGGAGACGATGAAGTCCTCAACCTCGCCGGCGAGGTAGCGCTGGTAGAGGCGGTAGGCGAAGGGAACCATTTCCTCGTTGCCTTTGCAGAGCAGACCGACTGTGCTGATCATGCGGGCAAGGAACTTTGCTGTGAAGGCGCCGCGGCTGAAGCCGAACATGTAGATCTTGTCGCCCTTCATGCATCGTGTTAGTACCGCTTAGAGACTACAGAGGGAGAAACTCACGGAGTCGTAGTAACGCATCAAGAATCTGTATCCGGCCATGACGTGGGCATCGAAAGTGTTGCCGATGCCTTGGTCAACGGTCTGCGAGATAGAGCTTTGAATTTCACCAAACCAAGTCTTGTTAACAGATTTCTCGTTGATATCGTACGTGCCGATTCCGGCTGTTGAGTGACAGCGATCAGCATCAAAGAAATTATTAGTCCAAATGAAGAACGACTCACTCTGATAGTAATGGTACTGGTCAGGGTCGTTGCGGTCCAGCTTGCTCAAGAGCTTGACCACATTGGTGTCGGCATTGGTGCCGGTGAAAGTGTTGCCGGTCCCATCAAAGCAGAGAACAAGCTTTCTGGGGGTTCGCTCGCTCCCAGGGTGCTGCCCCTGGGCTGTTGCGCTTCCGTTTGCATGACCGTTTAGCACTCCGGGCATGATGTCTGATAACACGAGAAGAAATGGGATAGCAATTGGAGCTTCTTGGTTGGATTTGTGCGAACTAGAAAGTTGCTGTCTTTAGTGGGTTTTGAAACCCCATATATCAACAATCTCCATGATAAGTAAGCTTCCCTAGCTGAGCAGCTCACCACCAAGGCAGCCACTGAATGATCATTGTTGCAGGTGGCGGGCACTTTCTGGTTAGGTACACAACGTTAAGACGGCCAGAGATCATCGAGATCATCAACCATAACCAAACCAAGAGGGAGAGGAACGTACGTCACCTCGTACACACGGCGAACGGCAGCGCGTCGTCCTCCCAAACCCTCATCTCGTGTCTTACACATCAGCTCCACGCAGGGTTTCAGACATATCTCCCTTTTCGCGCCTAGCATCTGATAGCCAATAAGCCACCGGTTAAAAGAAATCTGGCACGCGACCGGTGAACGTTCGTTCGCGGAGAAGCACCCGTCGATCGGTTGAACCAGGCGGCGGCACGGCAGCCCGGCACCCGGGGTGCAACCGCCTGTCTGCCCTCAGATCTGTCGTGCTTATTCAAGACATCCGTGCCAGCTACTAGGAGACGTAACTTTCCCTGGTATAACAGCGGCCAAGAGGATCTGCGAATGACAGCGGAAGGTTATCGTGTAGTACAATCGCACGGCAGCTGGCATTGACCAGTGCTTGGTCGGCCAGTCCACGATAACCCGAGTCACCCGCATGTCGTGTAATGAACTAAGAAGACTACGTGATAGGCAGGACGACGCTTTCGATGCTGGTAGATACCAGGCTAGAAGGAGATGTCTGAGACCCAACCTCCGCGCCGAGGTCCGGTACGGAGGGGAAAGGGGAAAATGTGTGAGCTGTCAGAAAGCTCGTTACCATATCAAGCCATAAGCTCAACCGTCCTGATACAACGAGCTGGATACAAGAGCTTTTTCATCGACTATTTCGTCCATGCTTGTCTCAGCTTCTCTACTCTTGTAACTCAATCTGGATATATGCTGCAGCCTTCCGCCGATCACCTGTACGCATTGTACGCAGGGCGAGTCAACAGCCGCTCAGCGCGGGGAAGATAGCTCTGTGTCTCAGACAATAGAAAAGTGTAAGCCGGCCCGCGTTGAGCAAGTAAAACAACGCACATGAAAATGTCTTGGAACCGTCCCGCCATGCAGCATGCCTAGACAGGCGGTCAGCGGCATTTGAGGTTCCCGTCGGGGACCCCGCCGCGGCTTCTGCCAATCAGGCAAGCCGTGATGACCATTCTCAGCATGCAAGACATCGTAGCCGCTGTTTCACGACATGGTTGAAGCTAGCCGGGAAAACCCCTCAATCGTCCAAGACACAGGAGAAAGTTACAGATGCCAGAGCAAGGTGACGAAAGCTGTCTAGGGGCACTAATGTAGCTAACGAAGAGCTGAAAACATCGCGGCCTATCTTGATGATCTGACAATAGTCCCGGGGTAGAGTTGCGGAAGACGTCACCATCTCGACATTGTCAATTGGATGCTGACCACCCCTTCGCCACGACGTTAGGCTAGCTCCGGGGCACCGCTCGTCTTAAGCATGTCTGAGCCTTAGGGAATCGGAGTGCCTGCAGACGGTGCGGGCCGTTTGGGACGGGAGCCGGTTGCGTGAGTGTGGGAGGACGCAGATCTCGACCGTAGACGCACCTCGGTCCAAACCTGTGCCTTCTCGGCCGGCTTGGTGCGGCTGAGTCCAATGTCACTTCTCGGCTGGCATCCCTTCCGTTTCCCCTCCATTCCGCTCCGTACTCCAACGCCGTACATGCCTCCGTCCTGTCCAATTCTCTTCTGCCTCTTGGCAAGAACTTTGCTGCATACCCCGCCCCGTCGTGGCTTTCTGCATGTCTCCGGTTGCCGTTGATCGTCACCCGAGGGCGATGGAAGGAGAGCCAGTGAAATTTGCTACAATGTCTCGGGGACAGCTCTTTCACCGCATTTCGAGCGCGTTTTCGGCCAGGAGCTACATTTTCGAGGTTGGGCCGTGTCTCTCTGGACCGCTCGTCTCGTGGAACGCGGGCGGTGATGGTCCGAAATGGGGTTGCGAGCGCGTAGATCCATGTTCCGCGCGGTTGAGCGAGACGCCACCAAAGTGCAGACGAGGAGGTGAGGGGATAATGTTGTTGTGTTGCCCCGCCGAGGGTCGAGGGAGATGAGAGATTCGGTTGAGAATGGGTTTGGTATAAGTGAGGTATGAGGGCGGCGATGGAAAGGTGATCCCGGGCCAGATATCTCCTCTCACATCCTTTCTAGCCCTGTTCTTTGCCCTTACACTAAGCATTGGGCAGAATCATGGCGTTCAACACAAAGTTCCAGGCCGGCGAGTCCTACGGGGACGAGCGCAAGGGGTCTAACAACTTCTTCGCTGACCCCAAGAAGGTCGCCATGGACATCATCAAGGACTTGGGCGGTGCCCACGGCCAGCTCAACCCCTTGGAGCTTACTGCTCTCATCCAGCAGCTTCTCCAGAAGGGCGAGCCTCTTGATGACAAGAAGGGGTAAGTCTGGAAACAAATCACCGGTCACAAGAGTTCTAACAACCGAGCAGAACCACCGAGGCCTTGATTGGCATCTTGACCTCTCTTCCCTCCGGGTCAAATACCAGAGTACAGCTCACCAACAAGCTCATCGACACGCTGTGGGGAAACCTCCAACATCCTCCCCTGAGCTACGTCGGCGGCGATGTCAAGTACGAGGTTGTCAAGACCAAGGAACAGCTCGCCAAAGAGCAAGCCGACCTCGCAGCCCAGGGCAAAGCCCCCCAGTCTCCCGAGGAAAGCCACATCACCTTCAAGGCCCCAGACTTCCCCGAGATCACCCTGCGCGAGCACCTGCCGACGCCGCCGGACGGCCTGCACAACTACAGAATGCCCGACGGCAGCTACAACAACATCCTCGAGCCCAACCTCGGCGCGGCCGGCACCCCCTACGCCAAGACGGTCAAGACCGAGAAGCGGCTGGCCGGCGTCAAGCCCGACCCGGGCCTGCTCTTCGACCTGCTCCTCGCACGCGACGACAAGAAGTTCACCGAGAACCCCGCCGGCATCTCCTCGATGCTCTTCTACCACGCCTCCATCATCATCCACGACATCTTCCGCACCAACCGCCACGACCTCAACAAGTCCGACACGTCCTCGTACCTCGACCTCGCGCCGCTGTACGGCTCCTCCTTCAAGGACCAGCTCGAGATCCGCACCATGAAGGAGGGCAAGCTCAAGCCCGACACCTTCCACGAGAAGCGCCTGCTCGGCCAGCCCGCGGGCGTCAACGTCATGCTCGTGCTCTACAGCCGCTTCCACAACTACGTCGCCGACATCCTCCTCAAGATCAACGAGAACGGCCGCTTCACGCTCCAGACCGCCAAGGACGCCGCCCCGGAGGACCAGGCCAAGGCCGTGGCCAAGCAGGACCACGACCTCTTCAACGTCGCCCGGCTCGTCACCGGCGGGCTGTACATCAACATCTGCCTGCACGACTACCTGCGCGCCATCACCAACACGCACCACTCCAAGAGCGACTGGACGCTCGACCCGCGCGTCGAGATCGGCAAGCAGTTCGACGGCGAGGGCGTGCCGCGCGGCGTCGGCAACCAGGTCAGCGTCGAGTTCAACCTGCTGTACCGCTTCCACTCGTGCATCTCCAAGAAGGACGAGCGCTGGATCGACGGCTTTTTCGCGAAGCTGTTCCCCGGCCGCAAGCCTGAGGACCTGCAGAACGTCGGCATGGAGGAGCTCGGCGCCGCGCTGATGAAGTTCGAGATGGGCATCGACAAGGACCCGAGCAAGCGCACGTTCGACGACCTGCAGCGCGGGGAGGACGGGAAGTTCAGGGACGAGGATCTGGTGCGGGTGCTCAAGGAGGCGATGGAGGACCCGGCGGGCACGTTTGGTGCGCGCATGGTCCCGAAGGCGCTCAAGATTGTCGAGATCATGGGCATCAAGCAGGCGCGCGCGTGGCAGGTTGCGTCGCTCAACGAGTTCCGTGACTTTTTTGGTCTGAAGAGGCACGACACCTTCAAGGACATCAACTCGAACGAGGAGATTGCCACTCTGCTCGAGAAGCTGTACACCGATCCCGACATGGTGGAGCTGTACCCCGGCCTGATGATCGAGGACATCAAGCCCGTCCGCAACACCGGCAGCGGCATCTGCCCGACGTACTCCGTGGGCCGCGCCGTGCTCTCAGATGCCGTGACACTCGTGCGCTCCGACAGGTTCAACACGATCGACTACACCGTCTCCAACCTCACAGCCTGGGGCTACAACGAGGTCCAACAGGACTACAAGACCCTCGGCGGATCGATGCTCTACAAGCTGATCCAGCGCGGCCTGCCGGGCTGGTTCCCGTTCAACTCCATCGCCGTCATGCAGCCCATGTACACCAAGAAGGCCAACGAGCGCATCGCGCGCGAGATCGGCACCTTCAACCAGTTCACCCTCGACGACCCCAAGGCCCCGCCGAAGCCCGTCGTCGTAGCCTCGAGCGAGGGCATCAAGCGCGTGCTCGGCAGCCCGGACAAGTTCGTCGTGCCGTGGCTCACGCCGCTCAACGCGCTCTACACTGACACCAAGAAGGACATCAGCTGGTTCATGCTCGCGGGCGACGGCAGCACGAACAAGCAGGAGAAGGTCAACTTCGTCAACGCGATGAAGAAGGTGCCGAACCTGCACAACGCGGTGCACCAGTTCATCGAGCGCGTGGGCCGGCAGCTCATCGAGAAGGAGACGTTCAAGCTCAAGGAGGGGCTGTGCCAGATGGACATCATCCGCGACGTGGCGATCCCGCTGAACGCGCAGCTGCTCGCGGACCTGTTCTACTTTGACCTGCGCCACGAGGAGAACCCCGGCGGCACGCTCAGCGCGACGGACCTGTACCGCCATTTGCTGAACATCCGCATCTGGGGCGTGAACAACAACGACCCCGGCCAGGCGTGGAACCGCCGCCGCCGCGCTGCGGAGAGTGCCAAGGTTATTACTGATTCGACGCGCAAGCTGGTTGACGAGGTGTCTAGAGGACGCGGTCTCAACTTGGGCTTCATCTCGGCGATCAACGAGGTTGCGTCCCGCAAGACGCACATCAAGAAGGACTCTCTGCGGTCTTGTGGGTACAAGTTGGTCGAGGAGCTTCTCAACCAGGGCGGCTCTCCTGAAAAGGTGACCGATAACGTCTGGTTGACCGCGTTTGGCGGTATCGGTGTTCCTGTCACCACGGTAAGTGTCCATCCAGCAGATACGGTGGGGTGGCAATGGCTAATCCAGTGCAGTTCTACGAGGTTATGGAGTACTTCCTCCGCCCCGAGAACAAGTCTATCTGGGGTGAGGTGCAGGCGCTCGCGCAGAAGAACGACGAGGCAGGGCTCCACGCCTACGTCAACGAGGCGATGCGCCTCACGAGCGGCCAGCGCAACGTGCGCATCGCGACGGTCAAGGACGAGATCGACGGGCAGAAGGTCGAGCCCGGGAATGCTCTCGTCATGCTCCTGGTAAGGTTTTCCACAGTCTCATCATGTATTCAAATTCAAGCTAACCATCGTCTTCCAAGGGTGTCGCTGGCCGGAATCCCAAGGAGGTCCCCAACGCGGACAAGTTCGACGCGAAGCGCTCGACGGACCACATCAAGCCCTTCAGCTACGGTCAGCACGAGTGCGTCGGCCAGGACGTTGCGCGAGCTTTTGTCACCGGCCTCGTCAAGCTCGTCGCGGACCTCAGACAGCTGCGTCCCGCGCCGGGTGAGATGGGCAAGGTCAAGACGATCCAGGTCGGCACGGAGAGGGCGTACCTCAACGACAGCTGGTCGTACCTCGGCTTTGATGCCAGCAGTAAGTGCCACTTGACACATCATCCTGATGAGATTGATACTGACTATACCCAATAGCCTGGAAGGTTCACTTTGATGGACACGGACAGGGCACGTATGAGGGTGACCAGGAGCCCAATAAGCCCATCGACATGGGACGGTACTACTACATCCTGCAGAAGCGCAAGGAGAGCCTGCTCAAGGGAGTGTCTGCCTGAGCTTGGAGATCTTCGTAGTCAACGGAAAAATAAAAGTCTTAAGATTGTTTAATCCACTTGGTCTGTTGTGCAAACGTGACGATGCTTGAAGTCGTGAAATTGTCTGCTGGTCGATGGTGTTGATGAAGGAAAGCGAGAGCGAATGAGAGCTTGGCAGTGGAGTCCTCCCAAAATGAGTCTAGCGTGGACTTGTTCGATTACATAAGGAGCCAGCGGATGGAAGTGGGTCATATTTAAATGCAGTGAGCGGGTCCAGACCGAAGCGAAGACCTTCAACAGCTAATCACCACACTTCATCTGACGTAAGGTTCGAGTAGAGTTATCCGTATGGAGGAAAAATGGTATTCATACGGCTACGCTACTACCAGTGAGGCGCCCAGCCCTCCACACCACCTTTTTTTTCGCCTAATACTAAAAACCCTATTTTTAGCTAGAGTAAATCTTACTTTTAATACTAAACCTAATTATTTACTAATTAATATATTTTTAAAGTTATTACGATAATAATAATACTAAAAACCTTTATACTACCTACCCTCTTAGAGGTATACTTTAATACATAATAATATATTTACTACCCTATAGGACTTTACTAAAAAAAGCTATTTTACTATTTTTAAATTTTACTCTTTTAATTATAACTAATATAGCGTTTATTAGTAATATAACTACTACTATAATTATAGTAGTAAGTGTTAACACAGGTATAAGCGTATTCAGGGGCGTGGTATATACGCCTATATAGTATAGGGTTATAGATGGGCTTATGTTATGATGAAATGTAATAATCCTAAGCATTTATAGGCACTTAATCGTATAGAGAATAATAAAGGAAGTGATGTAGTGTGATGAATCTTGTTGTTGTTGTTTTCAGGTTGCATCCTCTAGTAGGGAAAAGTGAGGGGAAAGATAATCTGAAACGTAACCTACTAAACTGCTAATTACATAAGGTGCTTACGTAACTATACGTATTACATAATCAATATTATAGTTATAAGTTGTAATAAATAGAGTATCTT